ACCTTTCTCTGGAGCACAAAGCAAACCCCTCCAAGTTCTGGAAATATGATGGAACATAGTGCCAATCATCAACAAAACACTGGTTATGTAATCAGAAATCAACATAAATGTGGGTTTAATATGCAGTTTGCAGAAGCATCTTCGAGATGGCGACAGGCGCAGTATTTTTTGGACCGAAAGAAGGCTTTTGACAACACAAAATCCTACTATCCAGACTAAGTCACTTTACTTTTTCCAGAAAACCCATTAGCTGGAAGAAATCATATGTCACCAACAGAATGCAGGGTGTTGTGGTGAACAGTGTCAAATCGCCTTACAGGGGGTGTACCATGGGTGTCCCGCAGGGTTCCATTGTAGGACCAGTTCTTTTTTCACCTTACATCAGTGACCTTTTAAACGCCTTATAGTGGGTGCACCATGGGTGTCCCGCAGGGTTCCATTGTAGGACCAGTTCTTTTTTCACCTTACATCAGTGACCTTCTAAACGCATGCAAAAACATCCATATACAAATGGATGAGAACAATGCTGTAATATACACCCCAGCAACAAAGTGCAAAGGAAGCTGGTCATATCCTCACAACTGAATTGGCCCACATTCGAGATTAGCTCACAAAATCATGCCGGGGCCAGAGTTGTTTTATTTTTATTTTTTCCAAATATAATTTTTACGAATGCACGACTGTCAGGTCAAACTCAGTTTCAAGTAAATGTAATGGAGTACTTAGTACACTTAACTACTCATTTCTGGCCGATTTTGACAAAGGGGTAGCAAGTACACATACCAGTCAGTAAAATGTGATCACAAAAATAAATATATTCAAGTCAAGTACAGATACATGAACATGTTTTTTTCACATCACTGCAGAAAAAAATCTGTTGTATTTTGGGAGACCTGATCACACAAAAGACAATTTACACCTAACTAGACTTTGCTTTCAGAGATATCCCCTTGCAGTCAAAGTGCCAAGAGATGCGTTCATTAATAAGCGTTTCTTCCTGGCCAGTACATTTGGAACTTTGTTCCAAGTCCTTCCTGTTAAAAACGCAAAAGCAGCCTTAAGAAAAGGGAACATTCGGTCGAACAGATGCCAGCGGATTAATAAACAAAAAGCTTCCATTTATCATTAATGCACAGGTACGGAGTCAACCCTGGCGCTATACTGTAATGTCAGTAAGTGCTAACATTACATAAATCCATTATGCCGTTCCCTCCGCCGCGGCATTTTGATGCAGTCGCGCGAGGTTAGCCAAACTGCTGCTCTGCTCCAAGCCCTCCTGTGATCTGAACTCTTGAGTGATCAGATTGGTTTGAATAGACTTGGGATGACTTGGAGCCTCTCGCTCCAAGCGAAACATCTTGCCGGCCCCTGGAATTAGAGCGCACATCTGAGGGTGAAAGCCATTTGTTCCGGAGAATGTCAGCGCTGCAGCGAAAGAGCTTATAGGCTATTATCATACGCCACCTTCAAAAGATGACAGCATTGTGCCACTCGTACACCCTGATACCTCGTCCACCTCTCAGCGTTAGGGAAATGACACGGTTTGAGTGAATGTCTATTATGGTGTGTATTGTGTTTGATTCCGTGTGACTCACGCGCTTCATTATTTGCCTATGTCAATCCTTTTCGGCACAAAGACATTGCATTGTTGATTACATCTTTGTGTGCCCCCCCCTCCCCAAATGAACTACTTTAAGGCCATTTAGCTTTTGTTCAGATTCGGCAGCTACATGTGAAGTATTCTCATTGAAATGATTCATAATTTAATACATTTCAGTCCTAGTGGAAGTTTCTTCATCGCCTCATGAGGAAGCATGATGATTAAAGGTTAGCACAGCTAGCTCGCAGTCTAGAGCACTGGTGTCAAACTCAAAGCCCAGGGGCCAGATCCCGCCCGCCGGGTCATTTTATGTGGCCCGCGAAAGCAAATCATCATCAAGTGTGTCAACTTGCTAAAATCTGTACCGAAATGTTCAAATTGTCATGTGTAATAAATAACGTTGAGATTTTGCAATACTTCTGTTACGCAGTTTACACTCACTTGAACAATCGATAATTGACTCGACTGATTTAAAAACTAGTAATCTATTCATTTGTAGTGTACAATTAAAAATATTGTGCTTTCACTGTCATAATGGTCCTCCGATGGTACCGTATTTTCCGTACTAGAAAGGTGCACCTTCCATTTTCTTAAAAGCTCACAGCGCGCCTTAAAATCCGATGCGCCTTGTGTATGGTCATTACGGTAATATTTCGACCCCAAAATGGCTCCTTGCTCGAGACATGCTGACAACGCAGAGTTCAAACTTAAGGCGATCGGTTACGCAGGTGAACACGGAAATAGAGCAGCGGCAAGAGAGTTCAACGTTAACGAGTCAATGTTATAACTTGCTGTTGGTTAAGTGAATTGTGTCGCTGCTTTATTTAAATAAGTTTTACTGACATCTGATCGTTCTGTTGTCGTTTCCCTGAGCGTAGCTCCATCTAGTGGATGCATTGTAGATTGCGTCTTATAATGCGGTGCGCCCAACGTATGAAAAAAAATTACAAAATAGGCCATTCATTGAAGGTGCGCCTCATAATCCAGTGCGCCTTTTAGTGTGGAAAATACGATAGACATAACTCCAAATAGGCCCCGTGACTCAAATGAGTTTGACAACCTTGGTCGAGAGGTTCAGGCTTACAATTTTGTCTCAGGCCTCCTATACTTGTGCTCCCTCATTCCAAAAGATTCACTGAAGACTCAGGTGGGCCCCGCCCACCCTTCAATATGTCAACTGGGCTTTCAGATTAGAAAATGTGTGTGTGTGTGTGTGTGTGTGTGTGTGTGTGTGTGTGTGTGCGTGTTATATATATATATATAAAACTCAACCATATCTGCTAACTGGGTTATTGAGTTACAGTCTGCTCTGTGGTGATTATAATTTAACATCATCCTCTGAGGTGTGATTGGATGGATTTCTTGACAAGAGAGCATCCCATTCATTTCAATACAGCCGTGAATTAAGCTTTTTCTTGTCCATGGAGTAAAGAATAAATGACCGGGTCTGTGTCCTGATGCGGCAACCCGAACGAGAGGTCCGCCGCACACCGCAACGGCCTATCAAAGAGTATCGACTTTGTGTTGCAGGAAGCGTGACCGCCTAGTTCACCCGGCAACCACCGCCGAAAGAGAGAAGGCAAAAAAATAAAAAATAAAAATAAAAAACGCTTTGGGGGTTGAAATGTCACGTGAACGGTTGGGTTCAACCACTGAACACATCAGGGGTGTTATCGACTCCCTCCGATGCTTTCAAAGGCCAAGGGTTCGTTTTCGGATGGGGCCTCGCCGTGATGGTGTGAGCGACCCGCAATTTACGGCAAACACAGTAGAGGGAGGAAGGAGAGAGTCAATCACTGAAACTGCTGAAAATGTGCAGTCTGGCCTCAGTTTGAGAGCGATCCTCAGAAGAGAGTAAATGGCTAGGATGGGCAACAGACGTCTGGCAGAATAGCTTGTTCTCTATCTGCATTTTGGTCACCTTTACAAAATATCAACGCTAATAATCAGGCTTCATGATTATCTGCAGTTAATTTGCCCATCCAAATAATCCCTCCATCTCTCTCTCTCTTTCCATTCAATCTATCATTTATTTCTCCGTCCATCCGTACCCATTAGCACACCCAACAAAATTTAAAACAGCTTGGCAGACTTTTGCGTGCGCAGGAATAACTACGACATGATAACCAGGGGGTGATGAAATAACGCAGTTGGCAAACTTATGGGGATCTATTGAGTTATGATTCGCAGGCACTAATGAAAAGATAGAAGGGAAGTAAATTGTTCCTTGGTCAGAATTTTTACAGTCAGTACTTGATATAAAAAAAAATGGAGACCCAGTGTTATATGCCTGATGTTTTTGTGTTTCAATACATTTGCATTAAAAAGTAAAGCGGAAGAATTCATCAAATTCAAATGGACATCGCATTGTAGAATACAATTTTCTTATTGCAAAAGCTGCAGCTTTTTTGTTCCTTTTGGTCAGTGTCCAGTTTTTTTTTATTTTTTAATCGATGTGTATTATATTTATTTATTTCTTATTTTACTTAAGTCCAGTGATTAAAAACTGCAGTCCACATGTTGACCTATCATTGCTTCTTGAAACATGACATGTTGAAGTGATAAAGCCACGGATTGGTTCACAATATCGTTGTCATTTGAATTACGCCACACTTGTTAGAATTTCATGAAGTCGTCAGTGTGAACGCTTAAAAGACTGCAAGTCAAAATGTTTACCGAGTTAACAACTCTTATGGAAGTAGATACATAAACAGTGCTTCATCTTAATTCATGGCTCATGAGAATCAGAATCATCTTTATTGACCAAGCGTGTGAACAAACACCACAAGTCTCTGCTATTTTCAGCCACTAACTATTACCGCAACAAGTAACTCAACAAAATAGGATGTTAGGATGTTCATTTGCCTTTATTTTAGCGTAAGCCGAACCTATCAGACCCCCAAAATTTTATGGATAGTAATTTGAGGTATGTGGGTAAAACTATACCGATATTTTTACGGTCTCTGGCGGACTTTCGCCCATCGCGGGTGGGTCTCGCGATGAACGGGGGTTCACTGTCTTCCTCTTTTTAATTTGTTTTTTTGTCACCTCTTATCGGTATTGACGGCGTCATCTCTCCACTTTTTTTCTGGAGGAATTCCTATAGTCACTTATAGTCAGGATGTCGGCCATATGTTCGGGATGATTAACGCAAGGCTTGCTCCCCTCCCGGGCAGCACAGGGTGGCCACTTGTTGCAACGTCAGTCTCCATCCTTGCTGGTTCGGGCGAGGAGGGGAGGGCCGGGATGGGAGGATAGGAAGAGGACGGCCTCGTCACATCCTCTGTCCATATATGGGCATGAAGTTTACACGCAGCGGGGAATCCTCTCACTGGAGCTGATGAATGGGGAGGAGGGCCGTGGAGCCGCCAAAGTGTATATAAGGGGAGCGACGTGAGAGCCACAGCAAGCAAATAACGGCGGAGCAACAGACGAGAAGGAATATATTGCATTTCTTTCCTTTTTTTTTTTTGGTTATTATTATTATTATTATTAAACAAGCACATTTGGGGATCATTTGTCGAACACCATCCAAATACAAAAAACGAGGAGGGGGTCGAAGGAAAACAAGACACCCCGATTTCCCTACGTATATATTTATCCTCGAGGCGGACCTTTGAAGTGCACCATTATGTTGAACAACATGGATTTGAACGCGAAAGATTCTTTTTACCCTCAGTTTGACAACTGCAGCGGCTCTTCTCTGGGCATGGACGCCGGCGCGAGGAAGGACAACCGAGACGCGTTCGGCGACGCGGAGCGCTCGGTGCCCGCGCAGTTCGGCCACGGTGAGTCCCGCCGCTGCACGGGGGACGAAATAGTGCATGCAAGGGAATGTCGAAAGCGAACGATCGAGTGCGGAAAAACGGCGACACTTGCTGCGCGGCGTCGACGCGATGAGCGCGCCGGATGCGCATGCATGTTTATGTAACGTCGCGTTTTCCCCCCCTCTCTCGGAAAGCAAAACAATCGGGGGTTTGACAAAGTTTTCTCCGTTTCTGATTCAACAGAAGGAGCGCCCGCGACCCTCAAAACCGAAGCTTCCAACTCGGAATACGCGTTTAACCCTTGCGAGGGCCCCAAGGACGCCTACACCCCTTCCTCGCTCGCCTACTCCGGCAGCTTCTACGTGGAAGCTTCTCAGGGGGCGCCGTGCACCACCGAGACCCTCCTCAACATGATCACCGAGATCGTGGGCATATCCACGATGCAGCTCTCTGAGTCCCAGCAACAGAACGGCAACAGCCGGGGGGCTTCATACACGCCCCCAGTGGACAGCGCGCATTTTGGAGACGTCAAGAGGCAACAGTTCACCCCGCCAGCGTACCCCTCCTCCTCCTCCTCCTCCTCTTCCGACCACCCGACGGGGTTCACCCAGGACCAGGCCGAGCCGCCCGCGCCCGAGCCGTCCACCTCCCATCTGGGTTTCGCCAAAAGCGAGCCCAAGTCCGAAGCGGCCTCCTTCCCCGTCGTGGTCAAGAATGAGTTCGAAAGCTACGAATGGGGGGCGTTCTGCAAATCCGACTGCTTGGAGAGCGGCTTCCACACGGAGACGTTCCCCTTGTCAAACGACTTCCCGCCTGAGCAGCAAATGGACGTGAAGGAACTTTTGGACACCTTCCCCGCCATGTGCCCCAACCCGGACGTGGAGTTCAAAGTGGAGGGAGGCATCAAGCAGGAGCAGTGTTTCGCCGACACGTGCTCCCAGGGCTACACGTACAACGGCTACCTCCCCCCGCCGATGGGCCTGAAGCCATACCCCGAAGCCCCCCCTGCGTCCAATCAGTGCGACTCCATTTACGCCTCCCCGACTTTACCCAGCACCATAGACTCCATCCTCTACTCATCCTTGCTCCCCGACTCCTTCGCTCAAAGTTACACCACGCGTGCCGCCGCCACTTCCACCTCCAGCGCCACCCCCTCCAAGCCCCCCAGGGCCCGGAAGAGCACGGCCGCGTCGTCCTCGCACGGCCCGCCCAAGGAGAAGCCCTTCACCTGCCCCATGGAGAGCTGCGACCGGCGCTTCTCGCGCTCGGACGAGCTCAACCGCCACATCCGCATCCACACGGGCCACAAGCCCTTCCAGTGTCGCATCTGCCTGCGCAGCTTCAGCCGGAGCGACCACCTGACGACGCACACCCGGACTCACACGGGCGAGAAGCCGTTCTCGTGCGACGTGTGCGGCAAGCGCTTCGCCCGCAGCGACGAGCGCAAGCGGCACGGACGCGTGCACCAGAAGCAGAAGGAGAAAATGGAGCTGAAGCCGCAAGTGACTCCCAACGCGTGGCCCTTCACTCTGCCCGAGGGCATTTGAAGACGAGGCCCCCCCTCCCCAACGCATATTGCACGCACACACGCACAACATTTTAGGATCTTTCCGTCTCGGAAGACGCGACGCCGTGTCAGTTTGGATGAGGAGCGTAATAGGCCGGAGGGGAAGAAAATGGAGGGCGGAGGTCCTGCTGTGCCCGATTTGACCCACGGGTCGCTCAGACGTCAGGTGAACATTGACGTGTCGCCGTCACGCGTGGAAGCAAAGCCTGAGTTTTGGGTGCGTGACTGCTATTCAGCACCTCTTCATCCGGACAGCTCCTCATTCCCATCCCGCCTCTCATCGCCCACGGGTGGATTGCACTTGCAGATTTCTATCGAGATTTTCAACTAAGAATGTTCTATTTTTTCCTCTTTTTTCCAGTTCTTGGACTATGTTGTTCAATGCATGTTTGGAATTATTTTTTTTCCCTTTTGAATACCTGAAATAACGCCCCCTCCTCCAATCATTCCACAATGGGAGGGGGGTTATTCAAATGAATGTAAGCTAATATATGTATGGGGGGGTTTTTTTCCCTGCCACAAAGTGGTCCATTTGGATCAAACTGAGTGTTTGTTTATACTGCTTATCATTTTAGCCGTCAGTGTTTTTTGTCATTGGATTTTGTGTTGTTAAAATTGTGAAAGATATCTAATTAATGGCAAATAAATATATTTGTATTCCTGTACTTCCTTGTATTTTTATAGCCGAGTGTATATTTTACATTTATGACATTTGAGCCTCATTTTCTTGGGGGAGGGGGGTATTCTAAAAATCCGTAATAATGTATTGGTTTTCGAGGGCTATCTTGTTCAGTAACTCAGTATTTGAAATGTCACCGTTTGATATCTGAAACTTTTTTTTTCGCACTTCATCCGACGAGCGTTGTTTGACCCAATGGTTTTACAAACGGGCGCTGGATGTGCACTTGTTGAAAAATGAAAAGTGTGTTGAATCAAGCTAGGACCGACTAGCGCATCTTTTGAGTAATCAGGTAGCACACATTGCTGCAAGGTTCGGGGTCAGCGATGAAGGACTTTTGACGTGATGTATCTTTTTCTTCGAGGATGCTGAAACTTGAAAAAAAAAATTGGTGAAATTGTCACCAACAGGGTATTGCAAAAAAAAATAAAAAATACGAAAAAAAAAAGTAATTTAACTCGCCTTAAGTTATATTAACTGTTTAAATTTGTAAATACACAGTTTCTACAATACATGAACTTGATATTGATGTTGTTATTTTTATGAAGATGATGAACAAAATAAACATTTTCTGCCAGTTACTATTTTTTTTTTCTCGTGCATCATTTGAAATGACCAAAATGTGTCCCTCACTTTCTGCAGCACTGGATCCATGATGGGTTCGCAGGGGGGAGAGGTGGGGTGGTGAGCTAATGTCATATGTTGTCTTGTGTCGCTGTGCAAAAAAAAAAAAAAAATCTGCAAAAATTGTGAAAAAAAATATCGGTTGATTTTTGTCGATTTCAAAATTGGCCGATAAATCGGTTGGGCCCTAATACGCACACCTGTGGCCCCACACTTTGAACCCAAAGTAATCCCCGTCTGAATGCAACGGGCTTCTCACTCAAACACATGAAAGGGAACTTTGGTCGGTGCTGCCATTCCAACTGTCCTCAACGTCAGAGATGACATTTCTCCCCTTTTCAAGAAAATCGACATCGAGAGCACTTTTTTTTTTGTGTGTGTGTGTGATAATTTGATCCCCTCTTGCTATTCTTTGCTTTGCACTTTCAGTCAAACAGAAAGGGATATTCATTCCACTTAACTACAGAAAGTGATTATGGTCTGTTATCTTTTTTTTTTCTTCTTCGAAAGGATTATTACCAATTTCACGCTTCCTTGTAAATGGTGTTAACGCTCTTCAGGCTCCGTGTGGAGGATAATATGGAAGACATAGTGAAGGAAATTGAATGATTTAATATACATGCTTAAGCATTTAATTTTACATTTCCATGGAACCTTTTTCCAATCAATGGTCATTTCCATTCTAAAATAGGATTTTTAGCATGGTGCACCAGTGGTTATCTTGAATGCCTTGCAGTTCAGAGGTCCCTAGTTCAAATCCTTACTTTGGCCTTACTGTGTGAATGCTTATTTTTCTGTCCTGTGTGCACGGGTGTTGATTTTTAGCCTTTCTTGGGGTCCCAATTATGTTAGGGTCCTGATGAAGCTCCACTCTACCCTAATTGCCCCCCCCCCCAACCCCACATGCCCTATTTGACCCTATGTGCCATATATCCAATAAGTGCGCAGGGTCCAATCACAGCTCGCTTTGAGGAAAGAGACAGGGTGTACCCTGGACTGGTCACCGGTCAACCACCGTGCACATACAGACAAACTACTCACATTCACACACACAAATGCTGTGCCCCCGCTTACGTTTGCTGATACTTCCTGATCTCTCTGTGTCATTCTAGAAGCCGACACGTATTGACATGACGCAAGCAGCCAAGTCTTGGGTACGCTGGACACGTTCCCGTGATGCTATTCAGCGTCAGCGAAACGGCACAACCCCGGTTGCCCCGAGCGACTTGTAAGTGTCAAACCTACTGTAGCCGTGTTAAAAAGCAGCCTGCCAGTTGGACAGAGGTGGCAAAAGTAGTCAGACTTTGTAGTTCTTTAAAAAATAACTGAAAGTTGGTGAAAGTACAGAGTTTTGTTTGATATATATATATATATATATATATATATGTTTTAATCGTTTGCAAAATGAACTAAATTATAACGGGTATTTGTATTATTGTAAATAGTGGTATTATATTTTAATCTGTCTATTTTTAAATAAAATCTAATCATCAAATAATTTGTTTCTAACCACAATGACGTTTGCTGGTGCCCTGGTTGGCGATGTCTGCTTCCGCCCGGAAAATTGGCCACGTTGAGATTCCAACCCACACACACACACACACATTCATTGTATGTATATACAAGGCTGTGGTAGTGTGCCTACAATGAGTGGCTAGCCGTCTGTCATCACTTCTCTCTGATTGGTTGTTTCTCCTCAGGAGTGGTGGTTTCTTAAAGGTCAAATAACCGGTAGAGGTACAACATGGAGCCAGTGAGGAATTTCAACCCCGCGCCCCCCCCCCCCCCAAAAAAAAAAGCCATCTCAAAATCAGCCAGGTTATGCTGACAGTTTTAACGTGAAAAAATATATTTTCTAAACCTGCAAAGCTCAATCACAGGCTATTTGTACTTGGTTTCTTCTCACCAGTGCAGTTGGAGCACCATGATTTGTACATTCCATCCTCTGCTGTCTATCAACACTTAGAATAACACACACACGCACGCCCGACCTCACACACACGCAGGCACACACACACACTCACACACTGTCGCACAATAGCACGCACGCACATACTCATTTATGCGTGTTGTTTTAGTGGCAAAAGCTGTCCAGCGATGGATAGTGGAGCTTTTTGAATTGCAGCAATGTGCAGTCACTGTGACCATTATCCCAACACTTGAAGACTGAAGAGTTGTTGAACTTTGGCCACGGATGAAATTTCTGCATTTGGGCGCTCGCATCCCATTTGCATATTGTAAATGGTGCTCAATATAGCACGGTGGCGTGTATCGCCGATGTCGTCTTCATCGAACGGCTTGTCCCAGCTTTGGAGAAAGAACAAAAAGAAGGAAAAAGACATCAATCAGTTCTTTCCTCGCCACTGACATTTATGTCGCCGGCTCTGGTAGACACGCATAATTGCAGGGGCCATTAAGTAATCGCGCAAGAAGGGCATATGTCTGCCGCTGAGATTTCTCACGACGCGGACCTCCACTGTGAATGGTAGCACATCAAGTCCATTAAATCCCTGCCAGGTGTTACAAATGCAAACATGTTAAGATTTGGCCCCGGAGGAGGACGAGGAGGAGGGGGGAAGGCAGGGAGGGTTATTCAAGGTGGTGCGTCTTGTGCTGCTAATGTATTCCGAACGTAAACCGTGTGCAGATGTGTTCTTACGTCTTCATTGCCTCATCCAATTAATCGCTTGATGCCGGATTGCTCCCGGAGAAATCAATACGGAGCATTTATCTGCCGTACCAAATGAGTACTTTGGCTCCAGATTAAGAAAACCCTCAGAATTGACAGTCAGGGATTAGATTGGCCCAGATTCCAAAGGATATGTGTCACAACACAATGCTTTGTACTTAATCGGTGTTTTTGCTGCGCCGGATGGACAAATGTATTGGGACACCTTGGCCGCGACACCTCCAGGGAATTCTGGAGAATGTTGAGAGCTGACTGAAACCGGAAGAGTCTGCAATAAAGCACGATATGATGCTGTTATTATACTCAAGTATTGTTGATGAACAGCGTCTCTCATGTCACTCTTTACTTTGTATGCGGTATTTTGCATTAGAAAATAGCAAATATTGAAGCCGTCATTTGTTAACCCTTTCCTGCACCCTGTAACCTGATAACATGATAAACTGTCCACTGTAGTAACCGCTGTCCCTGAAAGGGTTAGAAATGATGATTATTCCAGAATGTGCTTTCAACATTTCTGGACTGTTCAAGACAAATTGGGCTGATTCACGACATAGAATGTGGCATAAAATCCTTTGTCCTGAACCAATTGTTTCAAACACTGTATCCATGTCACTCATCTCTATTATGATATATACATGGTTTGAATTTTTTCTCGGGTAACTTATTACGATCTCAGGTTTTGGACAGGCAGCCGGGTGGGCCAGTGGTTAGCGCGTCAAACTCACAGTGCAGAGGTCGTGGGTTCGATCGCGACTGGAGTTCTCCCCGTGCCTGTGTGGGTTTTCTCCGGGTACTCCGGTTTCCTCCCACATTCCAAAAACATGCATGGCAGGCTGATTGAACACTCTAAATTGTCCCTTGGTGTGAGTGTGGGCGCGGATGGTTGTTTGTCTCTGTGTGCCCTGCGATTGGCTGGCAACCGGTTCAGGGTGGCCCCCGGCTGGGATTGGCTCTGGCACGCCCCTCGACCCTTGTGAGGATAAAGCCGATCAGAAAATGGATGGGTTTTGGACAGGTGTGATACTGGTTTAGCTACCGGGTAAATGTCTGATGTTGCTTATCATGGTCCAAGGAAGGCGAAGGCAGTTTGTGTAAACGCACAGACGCATAGAAAATTAGAGGGGGTGTTGACCTGTCGAAGTCCTTGATGGTGTTGTGGGACACATGCCGGATTTGTGTGTGGGCAGCGTGGGATCAGTTCCCACTCAGTGATGGTGTGAATGTGGGTGTGAATGTTCGTTTGTCTCTATGTGTGCCCTGTGACTGATTGGCGACCAGTTCAGGGTGTAGTCTGCCTTCCGCCCGAAGACAGCTGGGATAGGCTCCAGCAACCCCCCGTAGCTCTGTTCAGAATAAGTGGTGTTAAAAATGGATTGATGGATCGACTGACGTGACAGCGTGAAACCTCTTTTTGGAAAATTGTTCACGACCTACCAAACTGCTGCTTGGTGTGAAGCGAGTCACAAGTCCAAGAATCGGCTGAATGATGGCTCGTGTCTCAAAAATTGCATAAAGTGGGTCACTCAAGGCACCAATGGACACAAAATTTTGAAAGAGAGCCACATCACCCTTTCACGGACAAATAATGATAACCTGTACCCTGATCACCTGAAAACCTGTCCAATGTAGTAACCGCTGTACCCGAAAGGGTTAAAACTGTGACCTGTGTTCGATGGCCACCCACCACAGAATCTCTGCGACAAACCGATAATCATGAATTCCTACTATTCCTCAAGGACACAATTATTGATTAAGATGTCGGCGTATACTGTTTTTCTAACATTAACAATCAGTCAAGAGCGATCAGGCACTCTCATCCAGTGTATTTACCAAAGGTAGTGAAGTGGCCCATCTCCAAGACAAAGCCTTTGTCATCTTCGGGGGCCATTCAGCATCTTAAGCCCACCTCGAGAGGAGCAAGTGCGCCCCCCCCCCCCCGTCTTCCCTCAAGAGTCCAACATTCCGGTTATCCATGCTTGAACTCCAAACAATTCTCCCTCGACAATAATAATCCAATAATGACTTTGAATGAGACTGAATTCATTTGGCCGTGCGACCGGATTGAAGGCAC